CGTTGGCGGTTCCACGCAAACACGATGCATGCGTTGTCTTCTATGAAGCAGACCATTTTGTGTGGAGCGATACCCAAAAGTACATTCGCAACGGAGCTTACCAAGAAGACAAAACTGATATATCTGGGTTCGATCTAGCTCACGACCTCGTATCACGAGCACTGCCGCATCACAAATGGGCTTCTGGGTCCCGTAGACGCGGCGATGAACCCAGAACACACTTCTGCGTCGACCCAAAATCGGTCTTTGCACTGATTGAAAGCTCTCCAGTGCAACAGAAAGCTTATCGGGTTGGGGCTTTAGCGTCGCAGGCCAATTTGCTGTCGTGTTCTCAATATCGCAGGACCGTTTATCGCGGTAGAACTGGCCAAATCGAATCTAGAAGCTTGTAGCGATCCTGCAACTTTTTAAACGGCGAGTCCGTCCAAGCGGCAAACCCAGGTATTCAACATGACGATTTAATTCAATCATACCTTCTCGGCCTTTTGGCTAATGGGCAAACGGGTGTATTTAACTTTTAACGCGAAGCGCTCCACGAGCCTAGCGAGTGCACCCAGCGACGTCGGTCGCCACCCACGGTAGGGCATTACATACACGTTGCGTTGCATCCAAGGGATCGTACTCGATGCAACGCAGAGTAAAAGCGTTATCCCCTTCCGTTCCCTTCTTGCATTGCATACAATCTATTCTATATTGGAAAAACATACTCTTTAAGAACTAGTGGGAGGTCATCCACGCCGAGTCGTGTCCATTATTGGCTACCGCGTGAGCATCATGGCCTGGAGCATCTTTTGCTGTTGCAGCACGATCGACTGGAGCCCGTTAATTTGCTGCTGCAAGTTTTCCACATGGCCCGACAACGTCTGCGACGGCGGTGGCGACGGCGTGATCGGCACGTTCACCAGCTTAACCGCGTCCAAGTGGGCATTGTAGCACGTCTGGAGCGACTTTGCGAGCGACTCGTACGGCATTGCGAGCGCTGGTTTCGGCGCACACGGCACCGAGCCCTGTCCGCAGTAGTAGACGCGCGCCATACCGGGCTGGCTCCCGGCTTCGATCGCAATCCTAATGCAATAGTTGAGTCTTTCAACTGTCTACAAAAGGACACATCGTGTCGACGAACCACGTGCTTTCATGGAGGACGTAGGCGTCTGGGTCGTACGGGAACTTTTCATCGTGGGCGATGGTGGCCGAGCAAATGACAACTCGGTTCGGCTCCAGAAACCGCTTTTGAACCACGTGGCAGTGGATCTCGACGCCGGGCGTCTCCATGACGAGGCGGCCATAAGACAAGTTGGCGTCCCACTCTTCGAGCACCTACTCCTCGTAAGTTCAAAGGTCGTAGTATGAACTAAAGCACGGACCACAAACGACGTGTCTTTGACTTCAATCGGCACGAGATTGTTGTAGTACTTCCAGATGGCCAGCGCACACTGGTCGACTGTCAGATTGTGCATCTGCGCCATCGTGCAGTCGACGCGGATCGCATGCGCGCTCTCATCGTACGTGATGCTCGTGTTCTGCACGCGCGAGGTCGCTTCATGGATCTTGGACGAGAGCACAATGCTCTCGAGCCGACCGTACTCGGCATGGACCAGCGCTTCGGCGGTCGCGCGCCGCAGCGACGACGGCGCGTCTAAAAGCCGCGGCGCCAAGAGCGGCAT